TGCCTTTGTTACATCCATTTTTGTATATAGGTTATTATTAAACAATTCTCATACACTCCAACGATAAACAAACATTTTAACATAAGCTGCTTTTGAACATTTTGGAAATAAATTGTGTGGTTGTCATATATCCCGAAAGGTGAATTTCTAAAATTGATCTAACACACATCAAGAAAGCATTTCACACCAAATAAGTTTAAAGGGTATGAGAGACTATTATGATTTCAGTTTCCTTTTGGAGGTTTGGGGATTCCTTGTTGTGATTCTACAGCTTTCAATTAGTCAAAGCTGCCATTGGAGTATTGACATTGCAATGAGAGAGTGAGAGGGATTGCGACCGTGTGAGTGACCAGAAGTACGCAACTTTTTTTGCCACTCAGAGGAGAAAAAGATGTGTCTGCAAAGATTAAAATGTTTCCATTTTGTTCAGCTTTACCTATTCTTTCAGTCACAGATAATGTGTTGATCATCATATAAACAAGTAAAGTAATATTTCAATTAGTCTACACAATCACTGTTAATGATGAATGCAATTTCTTATACATCAACATGGACAACTAGAAAATAGTGCAAAAAAGTTATAAGTGCACCTGAGATATCATGATAACATTAGCTCCAACATCTTTTACTGCCCCAAAAATAGCACTGGCTGTACCTGGAACACCAGCCATTCCAGTTCTGTCAGTGTCGTTTGAGCCCTTCTCCTCTCTCTCTCTCTCTCTCTCTATCTATCTATCTATCTATCTATCTATCTATCTATCTATCTATCTATTTATCTATATATATATATATATATATATCAATTCCTTACCCAAAATATATATATAAAAAAAATACATGATAAACATGACCAAATTAAGATACTTAATAATAGATAAGATCAAAATGAAATAAAAAAGAAAGAAAGAATAAAAGTAGAAGAAAAGTTTATGTTCAAAAATATAACATGTATTGATTAAAAAGTAGATTTGATGAGGTCATCAGGCTTGTTCAAATAAAATAAATAAATAAAAATATTAAAAAAAAAGATGAATTCAAGAATTAAAAATTATAATTATTTTAATACATAATTAAAGTAAAAATAAAAAAAAAACAAATTAACAAACCAATTTAATTGGATTGATTTATATTGCTGGATTGTTGTGAACTTAAGTTAATCACCTCGGTTAAGAGACTAGGCTTAAACCCCGATAGACTTGATGTCAACCCAAGAATTAAGTGTTCAATCTAGACTTCAAGCTTGACTTGCAATAGACTTAAAGTTGACCTAAAACTTAAATATTAAGTCTAGAGTCTAAACTCAAACTACAGTGGACCTAAAATCAGCCCAAAGATTAAGTACCCAACCTACGTGCTCAAAAGAGTCTAACTTTAATGCCTTTTTCTATTTCCGGCAATTAGAGATGGTGGTTCATGTGGTGTTTCCTCCTCCACAAAGCCAAGGATAAAGGCTTAAATTCTTTCAAGTAGTGGTATACAACCTTAGCTAGACTTTACCAACAATGTTCAGAATTTAAATTTTGTAACTACTAATTACATACAACTATCTAACCACCTCATCCGACTAAAAAACCAATTTATAGACTCCGTTTCATATATCCTACAAATAGTGTACATTTTAAGTTTCCTAACTACACATCATAAATTGCCAGCAGGTGGTATCATTATTCATTTGACTAATTATTGTTGATTTGCAAGGTATCGAGTGGAAATGATTTTTATACACACTAGAACTTACAGTTACACGGGCACAAAAGAAAGACAAGATTATAACACGCGATATATACTTCTGAATTCTGATTCCATAAAAAAGGATATAATACATTTAATATATCTATAGTTTTTCTCTTCCTCCAAAAAAGAATAATCATTTTCACAATCAGGTACCCAAACCATCCTTTAAAGCCCACACGTTGGCTTAAAAGAATCAATAAAGAACGTCAAACCCAGATCCATATTCAGCTAGAGGGGATTTTAAGAACACCTAAAAAATGACATTTTAAAATAATAAATAAAACTGCAAACAATTTGGTGATGCTACTAGATCAAAACACCTTGACAACTTTTGGTTTCCTTGGGTATTACTCTCCTCAACCAAATCTTCCATTCCACTCTCGTACGGACTAAAGATGCCCTTGGATAATTGTCTGGTTTATCAATTTGGTTACCGGCCATCCATAGAATCAAAGGTGTCTGCAAATCCAGCAGGTTTGAAGGGGATGCTTGATTGGGTTTGTGTAAGGGACATGTCATTAAATGTTGAGGAAGTGCCTTCATTGGCTTGCCACCTTCGTAGAGCTTGAGGAAGGTTCATCTGAAGGTCATCGGCAGAGGTGTCCTCTTCTTCATGGCTAGGCTTCCATTGCTCCACAAAAGGAACCAAGACATTCACTGCATGACCCATATCTGGCCTTTGGTATGGTTCACGATTGGTGCAATGGCCTGCCAGCTCAGCCACTTTATATATGCTCACCATGGTTTCCTCGTCAGGATCCAGAGTTTGATCAATTGCCTTTGGAATGTTTTCCTTGTTAATTAGCACCCGACGGAACCATGTAACCAAATGAGACCTTTCATCCGGCACAGTATCATCCAATGCCTTTCTACCGGTGATAAGTTCCATCAAAACTACTCCAAATGCATAAACATCCACTTTGGTTGTCACTCTTCCAGTAGCTGGCAAGAAACAAGACAACAGTAAATATAATCCAATGAATAGACTAGCAAGAAGCAAATGCACCTAATCACATTTCAATGCAACAATAATCAAGTAACTATAATCTAACTGCTCGATTTAAAAGAAGAGAAGAGCAACATTTTTGGATGTTTTATGCTGCAAAGATTTTAATGACAGATGGATCAAAATTAACTAATTTTAGCAGAAGATGTAGCAATGCACCAAGCCACCAAGGAATTGGATGGGAGTATAAATTCCACAACACATAACTACCACCTAAGTCCAAAACAATGTACAGCAATCCAAGGTTTAATACAACCAGAGTATTTATCACATCATAAAGGGAAAACTAGGAGTCAGCTGTCTATAAATGGCTCAACATATCCTGAGGTATCGACCAATTGGAACTATTCAGAAGACCCCATGCAGCTGAATAAAACTTATGAAACAGGCAAAATATAAAATTGCAAAGTAGTAGCCACAAAGAGTTCTGAAGTAGCCACGTATCTAGGCATTGAGTATCAATTATATTTCCTTTCAAATTTTTTTAAATGTGTGGTTACAATTTTAAAATACTTAAATTTGCTGAACTCTAAAGCATGATATTAAAGTAGTAACCTACATCGATAACCACCAAATAAGAGCATAAAAAATATGAACTTTAAAACTACGGCACAAACTAAAATCAAAGGCTTTCCATACCTGCATACTCAGGTGCAAGATATCCAAATGTTCCAGCCAACCGTGTCTCAACAGAATACTTCCCGTCTGGTGCATGTTTAACCAACCCAAAATCTGCTACCTTTGCTCTCATGTCATCACCTAGTAGTATGTTTGAGGGTTTTAAGTCTCTATGAATGAAGCTTTGCTGAGCTAAGCTGTGCAAGTATTCCACCCCTCGCGCTACATCCAAAGCCACGACAACCCTTTGTTTCCAAGTCAAAGGTGTATACCCATGCTCACGCCATTCAAACAGGTGCTGTGTTAACGTACCTTGAGGCATATACTCGTACACCAAAAGCCTTTCATTGCCATTGATGCAAAACCCTAAAAGAGCAACCAAATGTCTGTGCCTAACTTTACTAAGAACTGCAATCTCTGCTTGGAACTCGTTCAATCCTTTGTTTCCCATAGCAACAGATTCCATCCTCTTGACAGCAATTTTCGTTCCATCATGCAACTCCCCCTTATAAACCACTCCAAACCCTCCCCTGCCTAAAATGTTCTCCTCACTGAAATTATTTGTCACCTGGCGAAGAACTTCGATGGGAATCGTTGGATGCCCACCTTCAAAAGCACGAAGATCACCACTGCTCTGGCTTTGCAACTCACTGGGAGCACGTCGATGACCATTAGCACCATTAGCACTACTGACAACATCAAGTTTAAATCCTTCTTTTCCATTTTCACTACCATTAACCCTCTTGAACACCCTCTTCCGCCCCTTGGCATAACACTTCCAAGACACAAACAACACCACAGCAATAAAAAACACAACAATAACAACTATACCAGCAATCCAACCTGGCGTCAACGAAGAGGAACCGTTAGCAGACCCCCCACTACTTCCACCAGGCGGTGACCCTGAAGGAGTACCTCCACTTCCAGGACTAAGAGGCTTCCCAAGCAAAGCATTACCCGCAGTCAATAACTTCACCTTGGACGCGAACTTAGGAACCTCTCCAGAGAGATTGTTATCAGACACATCAAGAGTCACAAGCTGAGACAAAGTGGTCAAACTATCAGGTATAGAACCAGTCAAATTATTCCCATTGAGAAACAAACTCCTCAAATCAGTCAAATTGGCAAATGCAGGCGAGATGGTACCCTGAAAACCCTGCTTAGCAAAATTCACAGTAACAATCTTACCCTCAGCACACACCACAAAATTCCAACCATCACAAGGATCATTCCCGTTCCACGAATTCGCCAGCTGAATAGGGTACCCAAACCCCTCAGCAATCTTAAGCAAAACCGTCACCCTGGGATCGCAATTCCCAGCAGTGTTTAAACAAAACCTATTGATCCCATTAAGAGTAACATGCACGCCGCTCCCAAACACCGGCACAGGGCCCTGAAGCAAGTTATTATCCAGAGAAACGTTCTTCAAACTCGAGAGACTCATCAAGGAACCAGGGACCAAACCGGTTAACTGGTTGTCCCGGAGCTGCAAATCAAAGAGGCTCTTGCACTGCGACAAATCCGGAATGGGACCGGTGAACCGGTTCGTATGGAGCCAGGCCTGGGACAATTGTGTCATGTTGGAAATAACCTGAACGGTGCCGGTGAACCCGGTGGCCTGGTTGTTGAGCCACAATTTCGTAATTGAAGAGCCGGCGAGGGAATTTGGTAACATTCCGGTGAGGTTGTTGTAGGAGAGGCGAAGGTTCTGGAGAGAGACGAATTTGTCGAAAATATCAGGTAAGGAACCGGTGAGACTCGCGGTGGCGAGGTCGAGTTCGGCGAGGTTGGTGGAGGAAGCGAGGTCGGCGGGGAAGGTCCACAGGGCAAGGCTAGGGTTAGAGCCGAGGCTGAGGGTTTGGAGCGCGGTGAGGCCGGCGAAGGCGGCGGCGGAGACGGCGCTGAAGTTGTTGCGGTTGAGGTACACGGTTTGGAGGGCGGAGAGGTTGGCGAGCGAGGGAATCGTGCCGGAGAGCGCGTTGTCTTGGAGGGAGAGAGAGTGGAGTTGAGAGAGCGAATTGAGATCGGAGGGGAGCGTTCCGGTGAGGGACATTGACATGAGGTTTACGCTGATCACGCGGTTATTCGAATCGCATTGAACTCCCTCCCACTTGCAGAATGGGGTTGACTGGGACCACCCGGAGGGTGGTGGCGCGAGGGATTTAAGGAAATTTGACATGACCGCCGCATCATCGGCGGCGACCACGACCACGACCACAACCAGGACTAGGGAGAGTAGGGTTTTGAAGGAGGACATTGGAGTTTGGAGAAGAGAGAAAGGGGTTAATGCGGTTGTATAATAGAGAAGGGAAGATTGGTTGTTGTAGGAAGTAGTGAAGCACGCTAACAATATGTAGAACGGAAAAACGAAGAGATGGATATGAGACAGTGTTTGTTTGATTGTTTACTGCTGAGAAGACGGTGTCGTGTCATACTTTCAAATCACTTTAACTAATAAATAAATAATAAAATTACATGGGCGGAAACAGGCTGCATGTTTGCGGTTACTCATAAGCCAGACGCTACCCACCGTAATTGTTAGATTAAAATTTAATTCTTTAATTTTATTATGATTAATAAATCACTAATTTAATTCTTAAATATTAGTTTTTAAAAGAATAAAATATTTTTTAAATCTATATCATTTTTTTAAACTTTTACAATTTAAAATATTTTTTTAACTTTTATATTTATATTTTTTTCAATCATTTTAAAAGATTTAATTTAAAATAATTTCAACAAAATAAATTTGATGTCCAACATATAAAATTGAATTAATATTTTGTCACATCAAAATAATGTTAAAAAATTAATAACAAAATTAAAAGGATTAAAAATCTATAAGTATAAAGATTAAAAAGATTTATAATCTATAAAAATTTAAAAAAATTAAAAAATATAAGTATATGAATTAAAAAATTAATTTATAAAGACTATAAAATAAAATAAATAAAATTATAAGAACTAAAAAAATATTTTATTTTTTTTAAATACTCATGTGAGTATTTTTTAAAATTGTATGACAAGAAAATAATGTAATTTATTATTATTAAAATTTATAGTTTAAAAATTTGAAGAAAAAAAAAACTAGCATAAAATTGACCATTTATGCACACTAACATATATTACGCACAATGAACGTAAATAATCTCATCCAAAAAAAATTATAAATAATTAATTATAAAGATAAAAAAAATGAAAAAAAAACAAATATAAGACTGTTAAATTTTTATTTTCTATTTTTTAATTTTATAGGAATAAAAATATAAAACATTTAAGAGTAATTAAAATATTAAAACTATTAATAATTTAATATTTTATATTACAAATTTATTTATTTAATTACATTGTCAATAATATATATATATATATATTATATTTTTA